CGAGCCCCCCAGCTCGACCATTGGCGCCCATACATATAACCTTATCCCAGTGCGGGCGAGTGCCAGAAAACCCCTTAGGTATGTATGAACCGGAGCCCTGTGCCAGTGCACCTTACGCTGGCAAATCCCTCCGGCTACGACCAAAGCTGCATGCCGACATTCCATGCAATTTCAAGTAGGCGAAATTGAACAATATGGCCATAAAAACTGCATCGGAATGAGCTATTTGCAATAACGTCAAGGTACGGCCTAAGTAGGATCCTCAGAACCTTACAGTAAATGTCAGCGAACCATGTGGATGAAGTGTGTGACCTGGTCCAGTATACAGTGATTTGACTTTTTATATCAGCTTCGGAAAGACGAGTATGCAAAAGCTGTGCCGAATTTATGTTTATATGTTTAAAGTATAGATTTTATGGTTCACAACACAACAAACATGCACTTCTTTTTGTAATGCTCAGCTAGAAAAATTACATCCTACAGCGTGTCAGGGAACGTTTACATTTATGATGTGCCGAACTTTTCACGTGTATGAGCTTACATGGCTGCTACTAGATGTCTCCGCAGTGTGCGCCTGAAGTTATGCTGTGCCGCACATCTCCAAGTCTATGTTGTACTGCTGTCCCTAGATGTCACTACAGTTCGCGCCTGAAGGTATACTGCACCGCATGCCATGGGAACGATGCATAACGTTGACATGCTATATGAGCGCCGGTCCAAATGGACATTCTTCCCATGAATGGAAGAATAGCCCTGAAGTACAATAGCTCCCAAACAGAGCAGACAGTTATTGAATTTATTGATAGAATAACCGTAGCATCCCCACAGGGCGGATCACTGGGTTCCTCACAATTGGTACGGGCATATGCCTACCGGAGCAGCCAAAGCCCAAAACGGGGAAACTCAACAAAAGCCCGAGGCCGTTGAAAGGGCTCAGATTCTTTGCTGGTGTCTTAGATAGCAGAGTAGTAGAGCAGTGAAGGGTGCATTACTTAACCCGCGCCCTGATGGGGGGGCCATTTTGGCCCCCCCCTGTGGTTTTTCTTAAATAGCGAGGAAAACGGCGGCGCGCAGCGCCGCCAAATTTTGGATAGCTTACCGGGCATCAATTTGACACCTTCACACAAAATTTCAAGTCACAGGTCACCTCAGGTCAGGAGTTATTGAGGTCAAACTGAGGTCATGTTCGAGTAAAAATGAGCAAAAAACATGACATCTTGAAACGCTCACCAATTCTACAGTTAACAAGCAACTTTAAAGTTCTTTATGTGGTTGTGTAGAGAAAGGTCGGCGCTACAAAATTGCTATCTCGGATTTTCGAAATTTTGGGATTTTGACCCCCAAAAATCAAAAAAATTGATTTTTTTTAGAAAAACTCAAAAAATTTCCAAAAAATTTTCGAATTTCGAAAAAAAACGGAATATATGTGATAGTCCCTGCGCTCTTCGATATACATACCAAATTTTAGATCGATACCTCTTTTTTTTTGGCCAAGTTATAGCGAAAAAACTGTTAAAAATTGATGACGTCAAATTTTTGAACTCAATTTTTTGCCATTCTAGAGCTCGTAGCGCAAAACGGAGACCACCATTGACCTCCCCGTGACGAGCTGCATCAAATCGATACCCATTTTATGCAAAAATATCAACTTTAAAATTTGACCGAATTTGACCTGACCTTGACCTGACCTTGACCTGACCTTGACCTGACCTTGAACAAAACATGACCTAAGCTGGCCCTTAAGTCTGTCTGACCCACATAATCGCATTTGTCATGTAAAATGGACCATAAAACATGTATCACACGACACTTTCAAATTGTGACCCCCCAGTGACCTGACCTCTGTGACCTGACCTGGTATCAGTGACCTCAAATAGCAAAATATGTGTTTGAAGAACATTTCCCCATCGATGATTTTCAATGAAATGCATTTTACACGATTTTACAACGCATTTCTTGAAATGCCTGTAAACGGTGAAAATTCGACCTTTGACCTGACCTGTGACGTCATCGGTTTGACCGAGGTCAATTAAATTGGGTCACAAGGTAGTTCCCCGTTGGGGCTATCCAACACCGTTTACCGCTTGTCGCTATGTTGCGTGGTTCTCGAGATCTGAGGGGGGGGCCAAAATGCCCCCCCCCCCCCCATCAGACCACGTTGCTCGGCAGACCCCATCTGGGCGCGGGTTAATAGATATAGGTACCAGTATAGCGCCTTTTGGGGCGACTAACGGAGCGAGCGAGGGGGTGAGTCTTGCACGTGCGAAATTTCGAGGGGGTACCTCCAACTGACTTTAGCACGGCACCCTACTGACCGGTTTCTAGCGATGTGCCAAATTTGAGCACAATCGGCCCAGCCGTTCTCGAGATCTGGGAGCGGCACCCTGCACGTGCGCACGTGCAACATGGGTCCCAACTGACTTGTGCACGGCACCCTACTAACTGGTCCCTAACCGTGTACCAAATTTGAGCGCCATCGGTCCAGCCGTTCTCGAGATCTGGAAACGACCCCTGCACGTGCGCACGTGCAGCAGCACCCCAACTCTGGCACATGGATATGCAGTGCCTAGTGGGTGCCTACCTATATGCCAACTTTCAGCGCAATCGGCCAAGTAGTTACCGAGATATTGCAACAATTACAAAACTGACACCTCTTCGTTTTGCACGTGGCACGTGCATAAGGGGTCACCCACATGCATCGGGAATAGCCCAATACTTGGTAGAAGGAATGAAGCTACCGTACAAAAATTACCGCGTGTAAATCGGTCAAGTGGTTGCTGAGATATAAGCCTCGCAAAAGCGTCCGCACGGCCGGCCGGCCGCTCATACTCAGAAATTTCTGTTAATCTAAGGAAAGACTACGCTCGCTTCGCTCGCTCCGTAATAAAATGCCTCCTCCCCGCCTCGTTGCTCTAAGGGATCCATGAACCTGTTTTCTACACATAGCTAGGTACCTACGCCCCGACCAGGGCTGATAGACTCCCCCCCCCCCATCGGCAACTGTGTTTACATTGTTACTCATCCTTGTATCATGGCACATTTTTGGCCCTTTTGAGCGGAATCGGCCAACTTACCGAGTAATCTACATGTGTTCCCATCCGCAGTTTTTTTTACATCTATAAGTCAAAGTGGGATTTCACTTACCGGATAGTTCATATAGTTGACATACACATGCGCCGGATGCGTATGACGGAGCAGAGGTCCAAGATGCCGGCCACACTGGTGAGGAGGCCGATCGCACATCAGTGTGACATCAGTCTGCACATCAGTCCGATCCCACATCAGCGGAATATCACCCCTCACGTCAGAGCCGTTTGTCGGGTGCAGGCGGGTCATTTCGAAAGTTTCCGCTCCGTCTGCGACGCTTTGTTCGTCTCTAGGACCGTCTCCGTGAGTACCGCCGAACCGGGAGCGGAGGCGGTCCTCCAAGCCGCCTCCCGTGGTGCTCCCCGTCCGGAGAGTGCCGTTACAGTGTCCGTTTTGGCGCAGTGTGGCCATCGCTCGGCTTAATGGTAAGCCAACGGTGGTGGTTCAAGAGAAAGGAGGCGGCCCCCGTCGATACAGCATGGCTGTTTTAGTGTAGCAGTGAGCCTATATGGCACACATCAGCCGGACAGGTTTTCTGTTGCAGAGAAAAGTTATACTTCGGCTTGTATATCTCGCGATATCGAAGATATCGTATATCTCATGCATCGGTTCTGGCCCCTAACTGAGGTTCTCAAATTCTGGCCCTTTCAGTTGACCGATTAAATTAAAATCTTCTTGACTAAAAGTACACAATTGCGTCCAATGTTACCGACAACGCATTTTGTTTGAACTCGAACTTCCTAAATCATCGACCTCACCAGCCACCGTCACTTCCGGTCACTGCTGTCACTTTCAGTCTATGGACTAATGCCGATCCATGCCGTCGGTCATTGACCAACACCCTTCCAATCACTCGACCGAACGTCCCAACAATAATTCGGCACTCATCAGCAACCACCCGCTCTTGTCAAATGTCCACCTGGCCACGCGATTCCCGCCACTACCACACGCTTCCCTCCCCTGCGACCTCTGACCGGCGACTGGGCGCCCACCTCCGCTCTCCCCGACCGACGCGACGGCTCCGACGAGGGCTCGAACGCGCCGCGGTCGGCAGCACGAGGGACGCCGTTATAGGAGGCCCCCTCTGGTCGTGAGCTATTGACACTTACACGGCGCGGCTAGCTGAGAAAGAGTGCGAGCCAAGGAGTGCAGTGCCCACTTAGCGATAAAATAATTGTGTTGGTTATTTGAATTTTAATAATGAAATATATTTAACAGGTGGGATCAGGGTGACACAAAAAACCGGTCATCACCAAATTTCGAATAACTTCGGAAGTTTTATTCAGATCATCACCAAACTTCGGCCACTTAAGGTCACACCTATGTAGCATACATCCACCAAGTTTCAAGTCTTCACTACGAATACTTTTAGTACAGTGTGTGTTTTACTGACGCTCCACAATGTGCTCCAGGAGCGCCACGGCGCTGCAGGGCGTAGGCACACTTGCATCCGGCGGGCAAAGTTGTCGATAACCCGATGGCTGTGCACTTTACATAGTACAATGGCCTCTGGAGACAGTGCTCAGGGGGTGTGCTACCCCTGAAACGTTATTCTTATCGGGTTATCGGCAACTTTGCCCGCCGGATGCAGGTGTGCCTACGCCCTGCAGCGCCGGGGCGCTCACCTGGAGCACATTGTGGAGCGTCCGTAAAACACACACTGTACTAAAAGTATTCGTAGTGAAGACTTGAAACTTGGTGGATGTCTGCTACATAGGTGTGACCTAAAATGGCCGAAGTTTGGTGATGATCTGAATAAAACTTCCGAAGTTATTCGAATTTTGGTGATGACCGCTTTTTTGTGTCACCCTGTAGGATAAAAGTAAAATCAACACGAAGAATATTGAAAGTCGGCACGTTGCGAGAATTTCCTAATCATCCATAACCATAGATAACATTTGTTTCAGCAACAATTTCTCAAATATCAATCATTTATTAACAAAAATAGACGCAATGGTTGCATATAAAGCTGCGGTCACCTGCCGCACAAGTTAGCAACAAAAACGAACTAATGAGAATATCACATACGATCAGACCCCTGGTAACACAAAAAGACACATCCATAATAGCACGTGAGTCCACGATATCACCAACTCAGAGCGCTCCGGCCTCAGGGCCCCAGCAGTCACACGGTCCCAGACACAGCAGACACGTCTGTGTTTCCATGTGCGTCACGGGGGCCGTCTGCGTGTGCGACGTGAGCACATCAGTACGGTCATCGCTCCACCAGGGTGTCTGAGTCTGCGAGTCGTCCGTTAACCACGGCGTCTGCGTCTGTATGTCCGTACCGGAGAGTTCAGAGAGCTCGGGAAAGAGCAGCTGCTCTTCCTCGGAGCGCAGCATGTGTTTGATGACGTCGAAAGGATCCTGAGTCTGTGTCTCCGCCGACAGCATGTCCGTCTCGGTCTGAGAGCCGGCCGCTGGAGGGACGCGGGTCGGTGCGAGGAGGGGCTCGGATGGCCGCAGCTCGGCCTGCTGTCGCCCGCGCTGGGTTGAGAGTGGCTTATGTGGTGGTAGTGAATGCCTGTCAGCCTGCTGCGCCTCCCAGAGGAGCTCCTCTAGTGGCACCGCTTTGGTTTGCTGTGCCATTTCCATTTTAACCGGCTTCCAACCGCCTTCAGTCTGTGTCTGACAGTTGGTCAGGCCCTCCGTAGCGACCTGCGACTCCCAGAGAAGGTCCTCCAGCGGTACGGACTGGGTCTGCTGTGCCGTTTCTATCTTGACCGGCTTGGACCTATACTCAGTCTGGGTCTGGCAGCTGGTCAGACCAGAGGAATCGGTCTCTGCCTCCCATAGTAGCTGCTCCAATGGCACAGCCTTTGTCTGCTGTGCCACTTCAATCTTTACCGTCTTATACCTCTGCTTAGACCTATATTCAGTCTGGGTTTGACAGTTAGTCGGGCCAGATGTGCCAGTCCCTGCCTCCCAGAGTAGCTGCTCCAAAGGCACAGCTTTCGTCTGTTGTGCCATTTCCATTTTCACTGGCCTGGGCCTGTCCTCCGTCTGAGTCTGACAGTTGGTCAGACTAGCTGCAGCGGCCGGCGCCGGCCACAGCAGGCCCCATACCAGCGGCGGGCCCGCCTGTGAGGCTGCCGACGCCGCTGCCACCGCCACACACTGCGAGCCGGCCGTGCGACAGGCCGGCGGTGCCGTCTGCCCGGCCGTACCGCTCGTCAGGCGCGTCTGTGTGCCACTGGAGCGGCCACCGCGCGGGGCACGACGAGCTGCAGTCTGGGTGGCAGCGTCACATGTGTTCACTTGACGAGCGACTCGGGCAGGCAGGGCGGCCAGGGCGATACTGGCGAGCAGGTGAAGGGCGTCCGGGGACGGCTTGGGCGCTAGTCGACGGAGACCTTCGGTACCCAACAGCTGCGTCCTGCCGGCGAGAGAGAAAAGATGACGCCACTGTACCTCGGCGACCACCGACAAGACAGAATACATAGCTGAACGGGCCGGCCGGCACCGAGCAACATAATTAAAGCAGCACCACGACACAGCCCAGCTGTTACTGTAAGTGATGACCACAAACGGATGAAGCCAGATTTCGGCAACACAATTTAAACGATGTCATTGAATAAATGAGCTTAGGGAGCACATGGTATGCATACTGAGTGGACAGACAGGGAGACATTTCCATACATATGGGTGCAAAGCCGATTAAACTTAATGCTATAGCCAATAACCATATTGCGTTACTTTCTGTCTAACAAACTATGCACCGAATGACAACCATACAACATATATCAAACCGCACAAATACAAATGCCTGTGGAAACAATGGACGGTCATTGTAGTCCCTTAGTTAGCCCATCGCTTATGAAGTTAATTCCTCACCCGACTCGCTATTTTGTGGTTTGCCCACCTAACTTCGGTGCGAGCGAATCCGTATCTCTGCACAAATTACGAGACCGAGTCACGTGCTAGGTGTAACACAGAAAGTGCAACGTAACTACGATACTGCAGGGCTGGTCATTTGATCCTGTACCTCGTAGACCAGACATACATACGGACATATCCCAGAAGTACATGACGTCCGAGTGATCGCTCACCTGTCTTTCAGCGTCGTGCTGTGACCGTACTTGGCCGCGTGGCTGCGCAGTGAGCGCACGTTGGAGTACTGCGCGCCGCAGCTGCACTTGAACTCGGCAGCGCAGAGGCGCCAGTGAGCGCGCATTAGCGCCTCGCTGGCGAACGACGCCGTCTGGCACTTGGGACAGAGCAGCGTGCGCGGCGCGTGCACCTTCAGGTAGTGCTGTGGGGCGGGACACAGGGGCTCGTTATTGAAGGATATCAGCTTCAGTGGACATTAGCCGGCTTAGTCTGCTTCCTTGTACGACGAGAAAGGCAGGACAGTTTGGCATGAGCAGCAGGCCAACTCTAACCAGATACAATGGATTCATCAATAATATTTGGCAGAAGAATGAAGTTTAATGGACTGAGCTGAGAGTGCCCCACAGTTAAATTAACAAATATAACAGCGAATGATCAGCGTCCACTGTACAGCATTTCTAAACGCTAGTGCTGATGAGTCTGTAACACCACGTCCTGCCCGCGCCCGTGTACCATCTCCACAACACACCTGTTTGAGCGCCTTCAGTGACCCGAACTGGGCCTTCTTGGACACACCGGAGCTCAGACAATCCGGCTCCGGACATATGAACACAGCCGTCGGCGGCAGGGCGGTCGAGCTGCCGCGTATCGCCCTCTTCCCGTGCCGGCGCAGCAGGTGGAAGCGCAGCGCGGACGGCTGCGGCATGCGGCGGCCGCAGCCGGGCTCCGGACACAGCAGGTCGCGCTCCGGAGGCCGCAGTAGCTCCTCGGCAGTGGGTCTCACCACCGGACCCACCGGCTCGCCGCCGCCCGGGTCATCCTCCGAGCACATGGCTGACGCAGATGGTGCACCTCTGTTATGGTGTGGTGTCCACTTTCCAGATAAGAGAGTGTCCACTTTCCAGATCAGAGAGCACAAAAAGGCTGGATATTGTGAAGAGTGGCTGAAGGCTGGAAATAGAAAATAGTGGTAATATCTCACATAGCTTGACATAGGTGCCTGTTGGCAAGGAATATAGCCATGGCCCATAAGAGAAGTGGGCCTAACCTAAAGGACAGGCAACTGGCCGTCCCTCTGTTAACCCGCGCCCGGCTGGGGGTCCTGGATTTCCACGCCCTGCTGGGGGGGGGGGGGGGGGTGTGTGAACACACACACCCCCCTTCTAACTCGACTCCTGGGCCACGTAGCGATACGCGGAAGGCGGCGTTCGAAAGAGCGCCACAAATAATGACGAAATCACTTCGGTCAATTTTTTGGTCAGGTCAAAGGTCAGGTCACCAGAGGTCATTGAAGGCAAAATTTTGCCGATTTCCAGGTCGAATGTCGGCAATTTCCAAGAAGCCAACGCATAACTCGGGAACCAATAGAGCTACAGCGCCGCGGGAAAGCGCATTCGATAGCCCTATTAACGTCCTTTCTGAGTAATTTTCTCAGATTTGACCTAACGTCAACAGTTTTGCCTGCAGGGGGCAAAAACTGCAAAAAAGCCGATTTTTTTCGGAAACAGTTTTTCTGCAATAACTTTTGACCCAAGCCTTGTACGAGCTTACTTTTACCGGCATCGTGTTCCTCTTGTCAAGACGCATCGAATGAACTATAACTTTACCTTGAAAGGTCAACTTGAAAATTTGACCTCAGGTCAAGGTCATGACCTGACCGGAAAGGGTCATGTTGCATATCAGTCGATCCGTATCGTCGAGCTGAGCACATCTAAGGCGTGTTCATCGCTCTAGCATGCCTCTATCAAAAGTTATTTGCGAAAAACTGTTAGATACCATTCGTGACCTAAGATGACCTCAGGGACATAAACAGGGGTCACAGACACCATTTTCATGTTCAGTGTGTCTAAACCACTTGAAATTCAGTGTTTGGGAGTGTTTATAATGTCATTTGTCCAAAAGAGGCGCATTTCAATTTTCTCCCTGTGACTTATAATGGGGAGGTCGCAAAATTGACCTGACCTTAGGTCATCGATATCAAACTTCTGAGATATACATTTTGTACATGCTATTGCTCTTAGCAATCGCTAAAAGTTTCAAAGCGATCGGTCACTCGGTGTAGCTATGGCAGACATTGAAACTTTTTATGAGGTGAGGTCACTTCAAGTGACCTGGTGACCTGACCTTGAATGACCTTGGTCTGAACTTTTCACAACATGTGTAGAATTGATGTATGATAAGGTGTACCAAAAACAGCCCCCCCCCCCCCAGCAGGGCGCGGGTTAACAGTCACAGGTCACTCCACCAAAAGCATGAGTCTGCTCCAAATGGGAGTTACTCATAACCCAAGTTTGATGATGGTACTATTCGAGCCCTGGACAGCTAATGTTTTGGGCTCTGAGCCCTGAGGGCATGTAGGTACAATACATCTTGAGGGTAAAGAAGAGATATGAGACAATATATCAATATCAACCTTGAATACTAAAAGCTACAGCCCACATAACTGATGCAAATACTTGGTAAATACATTGACAAGACAACAGCTCTGAGAAAATATTATACTTAGGTACTTTCAGATCAGAGGGATAGGGACAATTTAGGCACATTTTTTATATTTTTTATAAATTTAGTCCAAACCTTTTGATGGGAAGGATTCACAAGGACAGAGCCACCACTTAGCGAAGCTCGTTGCGATGACCCTGCCCTCTACCCTCCGATCGCGCAATTCCGATTCTATGGCAGAATTTAGAGTCCAAAGTTTAACGTGCGCACAAAGCCGCGCACGGCCGGTCCCCTCGCTGACTTCGCCTGGCTACAGCCTGCCACCAACCGCAACCATACCTGTCAGGAGGCCCATAAATGTCGAGCGCCCGTCGCGCTTCGAACCCGGACTGTTATAACCGGGAACGCGTGCTCTCACCACGCGGAGTCCAACGCTCTAACCAGCTGAGCTACGGGACTGGCATATCTGTAGAAAAATGAAAGCATCAATAGTTGATTTTAGATGCCCATTTGATGGCTGGAACTTGGAAGTGAGGCACCTAATGTCGCCTAGCATGCTGCAAACAAACAGACAGCCAAGCTAAGGCCGCGTTCGATGTCTCTTCGGACGAAGAACATTCCACGCAGAATATTCTATTTTGCGTTCGATGAAGCACACAGTCGGACGACGAGACCGGCCATTTTATGCGCCACTTACACAATGTGCGTCAGTTTCGAAAAAGGTCCAAGTTTACGTTTCCATAGAGACCGCGCACAAATGTCAACAACTTCTGCAAACAGCTGCTGCGCCGCTTTTGAAATACGCGCCACCATTGCCTCTCTGCCCACCGTAGTACGCTCAAAAGATTCTGCGCGGACGGCAAAGATTCTACGTGATGTCACGTAGAATCTTTGCTGTCTGTGTGACATCGAACGCCATTTTGGGCCCAGACGGCATAGAATCTTCGCCGTCCGGGAGACATCGAACGCAGGGTAAGGCCATCAGTCAGTGAAGCTGGGCAAATCAAATGTGGCACCAGCCTCCAGCAGTCAAGGGACCAGGAGCAGTGCGGGCTTTGCTGGAAAATCAAAAATGAAAATGAAATTGGTGGAAATAGCCCTATTATGACTTTACACTTTTTGTTTTGAGAATTTCTGCAGTTCTAGGATGGTGTTCAAATCTTTATGGCTGGAAACTTACTATGCTTGACAAGCATTTAGTTCAAAAATGTACAAAGCTATTTTTCAAAAGAACATCACACTGTGTCCTGAAAAGATAATGAGAATTGAGAAAGGAAAATATTTTATTTGAATGCACGCTTCACACTCACAGTGTGTAGAAGCTTACAAGCCTTTAAAATGAACGTGGGTAATTTCCTCCTTTTGCGCCATTTAATAACTTGAAAAAATTCACAAAACAGAGACATCAGAAGATTTAACAAATAACCAACTCATCCTTCTAAGGCAAAAAAGGTGAGGCTACACATCAAAACTTACGATACTTTTGTGATGATTTCACCAACGTCAGAGCTTCATATTGATATAGCAAGCTAACCAAATATATGACCAGCTATTTAGCCAATTTCACTAAATTGCAATATAAACAGACATAATATTAAAAACGTCGTGTGCAAATGCTTCAAGGAAACTGCTTTTACATAAATGGCGCGTGTGCTCCAAAATAGACAATGCAAAGGGGAATAGGACCACTAAAAACTAACTCGTGAGATATGTGCGTACTAACTGGCAATGTTCCTGGGTATTTGTGCACCATTGTTTTGATTTTACTGCAGCTAAATAAATCTTAAATACCATTTCCGAATTTCCTTTTGAAATCCTTGCTCACATGAGATGAATCAGCGCCAGCAGCCAAAAGACAACCGCCTTGTATTGAACGATATGCTGTACTTGGTCCAAGTTTGGTCCGAGGTAAACTTTGCCTACATTTCTTGTCAGAAAAAAAAAACACATTTCACTCGCCTCTAGGTCATAACAATAACATAGAGTCACTCAAAAGGTCCTCTGGATCGACGACACCATGTGTAAGCATCTGCATTGATCGATATATTATATGGAATATACCTATGGAATATGGATGCTGGGGTCCAGCCTCCAAAATTCTTATAGCGCCACCTACAAATAAATGTTAGTGCGTATAGTGCCCTCTACCAGCCACAGACTACAGCTGAAGGCACTCGCTCAGGCTCAGGCACTGCACAGTGCACTGGTATTATGCGGTTTTAACCCTAGCCCTGGCAGGGGAGCAGTCGATCGACCCCCGCCCCCTCAGTTTTTTTTTTTGCGATGCGCGCCGAACTATCAGTCGGACCGTGCTGAAATTTTCAATAGCTTCTGGGTTTCATTAGCACAACTTTTGGGAAAAAAAAAACATTTTCGGGTCATTTCATGTCAGGTCACCGCGAGCTCTAGGACGTCATAATAGGTAGATACAATGTCCGTCGTCCGACCGTTTTTGACAAAATCGTAGGTACAGCGAAACTAAACATTATCTCATCGTCAAGAACGAGTTACGAAACTATTTCGTGTATTTATGTCAGAATTTGATTGGACATGAATCTTTGCATTGTATGTTGACCTTTCTAAGGTCAAACAAGGGCAATGACGTCGCATGTTCGCACGCTGACCTCCGTGATATGAGTTGTTTCGTACTAGAAGTCAGAGACGGATCCAGCTAAGAGTTTTTTTTTGGGGGGGGGGGGGGCAAACCAAACAATTTATCGATTCTTTCCATGCATCGTCCATAGGCGTAATGTTAAAATCATGCCGTTTGGGGGGGGGGGGGGCAAATGCCCATTTTGCCCCCCCCCCTGGATCCGCCACTGCTAGAAGTTTCTTGGCGTCCTGAATCCAAATCTGTGGCTCAATTTTCACAGAAACGCGTTCAAAACTGTTCCTTGACCTTTACTAGGTCAACCCAAGTCAGCTCTCGATATTCGCGACCGTCCTCGCCGGCGGCCGGTGTGACCTCCCATGTTCCCTGGGAATGCGTCACGCCAGTAATGACTGAAATGTAATTAACTGTACGTCATTTTCTTGCTAATTTGTTTAGAAACACGGTCGTGAAAGTTTCATATCGCTATCTTTCATAGATTCCCCAATATTGCTTAGAAATTAGGAAAATTGCAGCTTTTCCCCGAAATGTGACCTTTGACCTGCCAAAACTGGGGGGTCAAACATTGTGACCTAGCCCGCGCCGTCCTGGTGGCCTGTGTTTTCCGGGTCGTGCTGGAGGATGGGGGGGGGGGCGTTTTCACGCCCGCCCCTCTAACTCGGCTCCTGGGCCACGTAGCGACAACCGGTAAGCGGTAATCGAAAGAGCTTCAAAAATAATGACGGAAACACCTATGTTACTTTTTAGGTTAGGTCAAATGTCAGGTCACCAGAGGTCACCAAAGTTCAAATTTAGTCCATTTCAATAATGGACTAAATACCTGAAACCATTTCAATAATTTTGGAAACTGTCAACGGCTAACTCGGGAACCAATAGAGCTACAGCGCCGCAGAAAAGCGTATTCGATAACCCTTTTACACACCTTTCTGAATGATCCTCTCAGATTTGACCTCGTGCCATCGGTTTAGCTTCCAGAGGGTAAAAAAAAAACTGTAAAAAAACATTTTCATGAAAAAATTCGGCAATAACTCTTGACTCAAAGAAGCCACGACATTACTACACGACATCGTGTTTCTCTCGTCGAGACGGTCGAATGAACTTTTTTTTACCTTGAAAGGTCATTTTGAAAATTTGACCTCAGGTCAAGGTTATGACCTGACCGAAAAGGGTCATGTTGCATAACAGTCGATCCGTATCGTCGAGCTGAACACATCTGACGTATTTTCACCGCTCTAGCACGTCTCTATCAAGTTATAGAAAAAAAGACTGCTGGTGACCGCTGATGACCTGAGATGACCTCAGGGGCACACAGAGGGGTCACAGGTGCATGATTCAGTGTGTCATGTTTAACTATGAACCGATGTTTGAGAGGGTTTTGAACGATATTCGTCCAAAAGAGGCGCATTTCAATTTTCTCCCATTGACGTATAATGAAGAGGTCGCAAAATTGACGTGACCTTAGGTCACAGATCAGATATAAAAAATTTGAGTTAAATATTCTATACATATTGTTACCTTTATCAATCTCTGAAAGTTTCAAAGTGATTGTTCATTCGGTGTAGCAATAGCGAGCCTTTGAACTTTTTGTGAGGTAAGGTCACTTGACGTAACCTGGTGACCTGACCTTGAACGCCCCGGGTCTGAAATTGTAACAGCGTGTGCGGAAATGATGTATAAACAGGTGTACAAAAAACGGCAGCGCTTCGTTCCACCGTTTTTAAATATTTTTGAAAAACCTGAGATGTGGGTAAAAACGCCCCCAGCACGGCGTGGGCTTGGGTGAAAAAAAATAAGCGTATACCTACCACTTATCGCGAGTACTCGTTGAGAGCAATCGACTGGTTTTTGTTGCGAAGCGCTACGAAGCTTAGTATCGCAACACGAGGGAGGTCGCATCGACCTCCCCCCCCCCCCCTGCCAGGCCTCGTTATGAAAAATGTCCTACCAGGGCGACGCTTAAAGTTCGGGACATAATTGATAGAAAGTAATTGGTAAGCAGGGTTTCCTTTTCCATTTAATTGCCTTATTCACAAATAGAGATGTCGATCGGATACCAACTTTTTGGTACCTTTACCGATATCAAACCCATACCAACTACGTATTTGGTAGGTATAGGCCGTTTTCACGACGGGCTATCCGGCGAGTGCACCTAATTTGACCAAATCTGCACGTAATCTCTTTTACAGCAAATATCTGTATTTTATGAGTTTATTTCAGTGTTTTCATTGATGATTCTCTGATAATATGACAAAGCAGGCATATAAGCAATTAGTGCAACCCTAGCTGATAGCTAGTAAGAAATTACACACTGAACCTGATTTGACCAAATATGCACCTAATCTGCACCAAATGTGCACCAGATGTGTACCAGATGGCCGTCGTGAAAACGGCTAGTAGGTATGTTTCAAACCTGATACATTTGAGCATTTTATTGGTATTAGCCGTTTTCACGTTGGGCTATCCAGCGAATGCACCTAATTTGACCAAAATTGCACCTAATCTCTTTTACAGCAAATATCTTCAGAAGAGTCAGACATTTCGTTTTTCTCACAGTCAATGACAATCCAAAAACAATGTAATAAGACCAGACGTTTCGACAACAAAGTGCCTTCGTCAGTGGAAAAACAAGATATAGGCTTTACATCGAAAAGAAATATTTCTTATCGATGTAAAGCCTATAGCTTGTTTTTCCACTGACGAAGGCACTTTGTTGTCGAAACGTCTGGTCTTATTACATTGTTTTTGGATTGTCATTGACTGTGAAAAAAGCACATATCTTCATTTTATGAATTTATTTCAGTGTTTCAATCGATGATACTCTCTGATAATATGACAAAGGAGGCATATAAGCAATAAGTGCAACCCTAGCTGATAGCTTCTTAGTAGAGATGTCAATCGGATACCAACTTTTTGGTATACCGATACCAAACCGATACCAACTGGGTATTTGGTATTTCAATAGTAATGTGTTTGGTATTTTGTTGGTATTATAAACTCTTACTAATGTATAAGAGGCTAAGAAATTGGTAAAAAGTTGGTATTTCCCTCATCTTTCAAAGTTGGTTCGATTTCGGTATTTCCCCACGTTTTTGGTTGGTATTTGGTTTGGTATCGGTATTCCGATTTTCTGTAATTGACATCACTACTTCTTAGAGATACACTGAAACAAATTTGACCAAATCTGCACCTAATCTGCACCAAATGTGCACCAAAATGTGTACCAAATGGCCGTCGTGAAAAGGGCTATTATGAAGCATCACTAATGTATAATGTATAATTTATAGTTTCTTCTGAATTTGGTAATAAATTGATACCTATTTCTATCAATTTTGCAAGCTGGTTTGGTTTTCGTTATTTTGCCATTGTTTTAGTTGGTAGGTATTTGGTTTGGTATGTATCCGTTCAAAAATTTCTCTTTTTGACATAATTACACACGGTGAATAAAAGCCGGAGCAAAGTTCGGGTAGATTTACAGGAATAAGGAAACCAATGCCACAACTCACCGCAACCAGAAAACAACGTGAATAAGTGGCATCACTGGCTGATCCTGGGGACATTTGGGGCAGATGCCTGTAGTGGCTAGCAATAAATGGGGTTCGAAAGAGCATGAAATTGATGATGAAAATGTTCCTATAATGTTTAGATCAGCTCCAAAGTCAGAGGCCACCAGAGGCCATCGAAAGTCCATTTTCCAAAGTTTGACATTCTTTTAGATAGCGTTGCATAACTCGTGAACGAATAAAGCTACAGCGCCGTGGAGAAACGCACACGACAACTTTTTATACATCTTTCCCTTATACAGTGACATCAGAGTTGGCCTGAGGTTGTCGGTATTATAGCCTTCACAGTACGGTTCAGCCAGCCTTCAAGCAAAGACTGTCAATCGACGCTTTTGTGGATCTTCCATGACATTTAATACAAAGTTTGTGCGACATTGACTTCACCGGCATGACGTTTTCTCGTCGGAACGCGTCATACATTGTGCACTAGAATTTGAACTTAAAAGGGTAAACTGAAA